TTTACGGAAAAAAAAAACTAAATAAAAAATTACCTCAAGAAAGATGTTTGTTGTTGCAAGGACATGAACTCCAGTATAGGCTCCCATATTAGCAATCACCTGGTAAGATGAATTATGCCAATGGTATCTCCGACTATAATGGAGCTTTGCCTCTTTAAGTGCATTCACTCTTGCAAAGTCGACCATCCTGACATGTCCATCATATTTGTAGCATTCAAGAGTAGGTGCGTCCAAAACGATCTGCAAGACCTTCGGCATTGAATATACAACCAGAGATTTGAACTTCTTATGATTCTGAGCATCGATTCTCAATACCCCGTTCATTCGGCATTTGATTAGTTCAAGCGTCTAAAGATAGATGCAGTTGTTGAATATTGCATCTATCATATCTTTTGTTACCTCGGCCCGCATTAGAGAAAGTGTCTTCAATAGCTTTAGAACCTTTGGAGAATTATCCGGTATTTGGAATTTACACCACCGTAACTTCAAGATGGTAAGTGTCTCGATGGCTGAGAAATTGACCGGTATCTCTATAACTTTCTTAAATTTTGAGAGATCTAACTCAAGTTCTTGGATGTTTTCACCTAGACATGTATTGATCCACGAAAGTATCTTATCCTCCACGCCAATATGTTTGAGAATCAGAACAAATCGGTTAATCTCTTATCGTTTCTGCTGATTAAAAACGCTGTCGATGATGCCTACAACTTCTAATTTTCTTCGCCTCATAGAATATTCTCCGCTGAAATCAAGGCTTCTGCATCGAATCTCCGTGTTCCTGAATCTTTTGGACACCATGCGACTTCGTAAAAAATACTTAATGGGAATTTTTGCTCAACCATATCTTCAGGAAAATGTTCAGTGAATTTCATCTCCTTATAAGGAGACTCTGACATTTTTGCTTGCCTCTTCGAAGTAGCAATGGATTCTTTACAATGAATTAGAATGATCTTTATATAATTCTCGCAGAAAAATTAGGGCTTTGGCTATGGTTTGATGGTTTTTTTTTTTTGTAATTTATGGAGTCAATGATTTGTTTCTTATTGTTTCTTTACCTTTTTTGTAGTGAA